GGTTTCATGGACAAAAGAATTTATGTGGCTGGAACATGACGAGCTAAATAACATGATGTTCTGCCAGGTGTGTTGTGAGTTTCCCTCGATTTCTGAGTCGACAAGCACCTTTGTTACTGGGACCAGTCATTTTAAGAAAGACCCCATCAGAACCCATGAGAAATGCAAGAAATGCATTATTGCTCAGTCTGCAGTATCTTTCCCAGAACAAACACCAATGGCACAAAACATACTAAAAACAAACCAAGCATAACAAGAAGTCCTGAAAAAGCTGTTTAGAACAGCGTACTATGTTGCAAAGAGTGAACTACCACTGGCACAATTTAGCAGTCTTTGCAAACTTCAAAAGCAAATGGCCTCGATCTTGGTTCCACTTGTCTCTTACCTGTGATTTCAGTGGAAATTTCAAATTCAGGATCTGACACAGACTGATTCATGTTCTACACAGTTCTTACAAGTTCATAGAAATTTCTGTTCAATTAGAACCAAGTATTTGAGTTGATGATTGTAATTTTTATACAATGTTGTAATTTGTGTTTGAACAATTTTTAGATTGATGTTTTGTTTCCTTTAAAATATTATACTTTAATGTATAATGTTGTAAAGGAAACAAAACATCAATCTAAAAATTGTCCTCTTTTTTTTTTATTCAGGCTACTTAAATTTATTTTGGGCTACCAAAAACTGAAGAGTGCCTGCCCGAAGGGCTACCAGGGATTTTGACATTTTGCGAGCCCTGCGTCTCTACAGAATGTTTTCATACACTGTTCATTCTTGATTGTTGATCTTTTCTTTCTTTTCAGGGACTGGCTGCAAAATACGCTAATCATAAACAAAGAAAAGATGTTTTGTATCAGATTTCGCTACAAGCTACTACCTGCAGTCGTTGGGGAAAAATGAAAATGCAGTTTTATGCAATTAGTGGTTTGAATGCAGCTGATGGTAATCAAGAGTTTCTTATTAAAACTGAAGCAACTTATCAGGTTGAGTTCTGTCTTTGTTTTGGCTTTAGTAGCTAGGGGCATGGATATTATTTTTTTCAATACGGCCCAGTTTCTTTGAGGAAAACCACTGTATTAGTGAAACATTATTGCTTCTAGCAAGGGGGTTATGGTTTTGGTAGCCTTTGCATGCATGTTATCGTTCTGTTTGTAGCTCAGTAATAATAATATTGTTCCAAGAAACTGAGCAAACCGCAAGACTTTTGGAAAAACGTCCTTTGGACAGATGAGACTTAAGTGGAGATGTAATGCAGAGTGCCACAGGTGGTGAAAACCAAACACAGCATATCAGAAAAGCACCTCATATTAGCACGGTGGTGGGGGGCTGAGGACCTGGGCACCTTGCTATCCTAGTATCATAGGGTCAAATCTGTCTGACAGCTTAAGCTCGGCCAAAATTGTGTCATGCAGCAGGACGATGACCCCAATGATGTCACATGCATGAACAGGACCAGATCAATGTTTTATTGTGTCCTTATATATGAAGCTTTAGGACTGAAAGAGGGTGCGCTTTCTTTTCTGCATGACTGTGCATAGACAGAAATATGATGCAGAGATAACGGTCTACGTCCTGAAAGATATAGAATAAATATTTCTGAGAAACACTGAGCAGTGTATTCTTTTCATTTTTGGCGAGTGCGTATGACAGCTGTGAATGGAGGCGTAATCGATCATTCCTCCTTGTGAACATGATATCTTAGGGATTAATGGAATGTTTGGCACAAGCATCGAGTTGAACTGAAGGTGGAGCTGATTACAATTTGGTGGTCACAGGTCACTGAGGTCACTGAGACCTCCCAAAGGACATTTTGACTATGACTGATGAAGTGATGCCCTTTTACGTCCAAAAGGTTAGAGGTCAAATCACTGTGGCATCACGACGATTTCTAAAAACACTGTTAGTTGGGGTTATTTGGTGTTACAACCAAAAAATGTCCATTACTCTTGTTAAATAATCTCATCCTTCCATCCAAGTCATCCTCATCCTCCATATTTTGTCTCCATTTCTGTCTTCATTTATTTATTTGTACTATTTCTATTTCTATTTTCTATTTCTATTGTAGAGAAAGAGCTATCAATCTGTTAATCCTTTCCGTGTCTGGGCCGGGTGAGGTTTCCCGTGTTGAGTCAAATTAAGACCACATTAATTAGGCTTACGAGGAGAAATAAAATTATTCCAGACTGAGATGTTGGTCAGGCTCTCTGTGGTGCTGCACTGGTATATAATAACAATGTGATGTCCTGTTGCTGTGTTTCCTCTGAGTCCTACTGGTCGAGTGTTTTTATTAGCATGTTGGAGCCAATAAAAGGAGTTTGAAGTGTTTAAAATCAACATGTCGAACATGTGATCTTTATCTCGTAGACGACGCTGCAGACAGATGAAGTGAAGAACGTACCATGTGGCACAAGGTTAGTTTGCTGTTTTTGGATTAAGCAGTATCAGATGTGGTTTCAAGCCTTATTAAACTCAGCATTTATCATGACACAATACAGACTCCCACACACAACCTCCAACGCTGCAGGGATCAGAGATTCACCAACATGTCTGAACTACCAAAAAAATCGCCCCTGTCAGTTCACACTGGTGTTTGCGTAAAAGCTTTTGAATGATATGCTGCTTTTTTTGTCTCTGTTTTCAGTGGAGGAGTGATGATTTACTTTGATCGCATAGAAGTGGTGAACTACCTCATTCCATCGGCGGGTAATTTCAGCGTTTCACCACACAGTGTGTTTATCCTAATATCATCAGGACAGCTGTAACTGCATATATAAAAATGTAATTTTTCAAACTTCTATCTCTGCAGTGTATGACATAGTGAGGAACTTCACTGCAGACTATGACAAAGCCTTGATATTCAACAAAGTTCACCACGAACTCAACCAGTTCTGCAGCGTTCACTCTCTGCAGGAGGTCTACATCGGCCTGTTTGGTGAGGGGCGGGGGCTTCAGGGCGCCATTGTTAACAGTTGGAGAGCTGGAAGTGTTTCAGAGCTTTTCATGTTTACCTTTTTTGCACACTTTCCCCCACAGACCAAATAGATGAAAATCTGAAGTTGACGCTACAAGAGGATCTAACAAACATGGCGCCTGGACTTATCATTCAGGTAAAGGCAGAGGATCAGACAGACCCCAGGCCAGAATGAAGTTCAGTGTGATTGTAAATATGAGGTCAGAGCTGTGTCAGTTTGCTGACAGCACAGGGTGTACCACACAGCAGGGCTTTCTTTGCATTAGCTGACTCGACAAAACCCAAGACTCAATGAGAGATAATGGGGAATGCATGATCGGGTACACCCTTTGAATACCAATAAACCCTACTGAGCCTTAAAGTCTAGACCAGACTTAGAAATCAGGTCTAAAAAGTTTTTCTACATTACTAATTAAGTGCATGGTCATTTGTAGTGATGTAGTAATGTGCAGTTTTTACTGCTCCAACATATACTCATACTACAGTATAGTAAAACACAGCTCTACAGGTTTGCATATTCCTGTCCTCTCTCAGACTCTGTTCCATGTACATGATGTACATGCAAACATTACCTGCAAACATTACCTGCTCTGGATCAGTCAGCTTATATTATTCTAACATTGTGATCCCTTATCATAATGTCTCATCATACAGTCCCGATCCAAAGTTTAAGACCACTTGAAAAATGTTAAAAAGTCATGTTTTGCATGGTTGGATCTTAACACGTTTCCAAGTAGAGCTTCAACATGCAAGAAGAAAGAAATGGGAGTGTGACAAAACATTTTTTGAGCATGCAATTTATTGAAAAAAAACAACAACACTTAAACTGAATCAGGTTGTTTTACAGCTGATCAAAAGTTTAGGCTCACACCTCCAAAAAAACCTGTAAACCCCTCAAAACGGAAATCAAAGTTCCAAACATGAACTCGGTAATGAGCAGCTCCACCGTTTTTGTTTTCACTTCAAAAATCAGTTGCGGCATGCTTAATGCAAGTGTTTCCATGAGGTGAGTGGGAACATTTCACCAAGTGGTAGATGAAGACGAAGGCGGCAGCATGAAGGGCATCTGCTGTCTGGAACTGTTGTCCATTTTTGTAAACTTCACTTGCCGTCCATCTCTAAAGGTTCTCAATTGGATTTAGATCAAGGGAACAAGCAGAATGGTCCAAAAGAGTGATGTTATTATCCTTGTCCTGCAGTCATTGTGTACTGTAGCATTGTCCTGGTGGAAAACCCAGTCGTTAACACACAGACGAGGACCCTCAGTCATGAGGGATGCTCTCTGTGACATCTGGACATGTTTGACACCCCTGCACCTCCTCAAGCTTCATTGTTCCACTGAAGGAAAAAGCAGACAATAAAATGTCCTCCAACTTTACTGACTCATGTTTGGTGCTCTCCTCCAAAGTCCAAACAGTCAGTTCTGTGGCGTTCAAGGAGACGAGGCCTTTGAAGACATTTTTTGTCTTTGAAGCCCTTCAGTCTCAGATGCCGTCTGATGGTTATGGGGCTGCAGTCGGCACCGGTAACAGCCTTAATTTGGGTTGAGGATCATCCAGTGTCTTAACGGACAGCCATTTGGATTCTTCAGCTAGTGATGGTGAAATTCTGGGGGGTCTTTCACTTTCTTGTTCCATAACTCTCAGGATCATTTAAGAATTTCCAAATTAATGCCTTACTGCGTCCCACCTCAGCAGCGATGGCGCACTGCCAGAGACCCTGCTTACGCAGTTCAACAACCCGACCACGATCAAAAAGGATTTTTTGCCTTTGCCATCAGAACGTCATGACAGTGTGACTATCTGACTGAAAATGACCATGAATCCACATTTTTGCACAGATTTGGCCTTTTAAAGCAACTTTTGATCAGCTGTAAAACAGCCTGTTTCAGTTTAAGCTTTGTTTTTAATAAATTGCATGCTCCAAAAAATGTTTGGTCCCACTCCCATTTCATCTTGTATGTTGAAACTCTGAACCTTGTTAAGATCCAAACATGCAAAATATAATTTTTTTGTTGTTGCCATTTTTCAAGTGGTCTTAAACATTTGACCAGGACTGTATGTTATTATGTCTTCATTAAAGTGGAAGCTGTGGCTTTAGTCTCTGCATGCCTTGTTAATTATCACATCTTTGTGACTGAGTAAGACTGTGTTGATAAGATAACTTGGTTAAAAGAGTTTATTTACATTATAAAGAAGGCCTGACTGTAGATCTGTCAGCAGTTTTAAAATTGCTGTTGCTTAACCTCCCTAAGATCTTCATTTTCTTTGCTTACTCTGTAGAAGAAGCAAAATGTAATCATGCTGGTGCAGCTAGAACTCCTCTGAAAAACAGTCAGTGCCAGATGTTCAATCTCACTTCCAGCCTTTGTGCTGCTTTAGCTTTCTCCTTGTTTTTGTGGCTGGACACATGTTAGAGTGGTGTCTGTGTACTCTAACTGTTGCCAATAGCACCAATGAGAGTTATTCCAAGGTTACTGATGCAACAGGAATTACAGTTTGTCTGGGAAATGAAACACTAGTTTATTATACAACTGAGCTGTCTGAGTCAAACAAAATGCAATACATGGTTCACATTTGTGAATCAAATTCTGACCTGTAGGTATTTATTATAAAGGATTGAATTTAGTTCTTCGGAGGAGTTCGGATTGGTCCAACCCCAAACCTGATTTTAATGTTTTTAGAGTACACATATTATTCTCTGGTCGATTATATATATTTATAGAAGTTTTGCTTTTCTACTGGGCGGATATAAAAAAGACATTAGAGGCTTTGCGTGGTCTTTTTAGCTCGGATGCTTTCACTTTCATTTTAGGTGAAGTTTCCTGAGGGGCGTTATTAGTCATCCTCTGTCGACCTTTTCTGATCTTGAATGCTGACTGAATATCTGGATGGCAGGCGGTCTGACTCTGAATCATTTCTTTGGAAAGTGCCAAATGTTTTCTTGTTCTAATAAAGGGAAAGCTCAAATGAGGCGACAGAGAGGAACATTACACATTTGTAATAATTTACACATGATAATTTTAGCCTAATTAAACCCAGTCTTCAGTCCATAAAATCGATTTACAAAGGCTCTCTCCCATAGTTTGGATCAAATCACAAAACAGTGTTTCTTTAAAGTTACAAGAGAGCCTGATGATTTTTTTTCTTCTTCCCCACTGTTAATTTACCTCCTCACTGCACTCATCAGTGTAGCCATGTGTCAGTCTGGAGTGTTAAGGGCTTCACTGGGCTTTACTCCTCCACACATGGTTACTCTAAATCAACAGGAACTGCTGAAATAACAGTTTCGGTTGAGAGTTCTTTAACAGGACTTCATTGGGTCTGGGCTCCTCTCCAGCAGGAGCTTCTCTGGTGGTAAAAAGCTCTTTTTATGGTCTTGTTGGTCGTTGCATTCCATCTGAATGTTTTTTCTGTCCCGTTTATCCACAGGCGGTCCGTGTCACAAAGCCCAACATCCCAGAGAGCATTCGCCGGAACTACGAGCTTATGTGAGTTTTGTTTTTTGATTTGTTTTTCTTCTAATTATTCCACAAGGAATATGAAATGGGGAGGAAAAAATAATATGATTCTTCCAGACTTCTCCTTTGGGGATGTTTATAAGGACTGAATGAGAAGAATATAAAAATTTACTTGAAATTAAATAACTTAATACACTTAAGTCTTCCATGGACGCCCATATGTTGTTACATAACGGACAGAATTTAGATGGTAGTTAGTCATCTGGTCTTTGTTACCTGTGGGTGCATTTACTCTATTACACAATACTATGTGTAACTCTGACTTGTCTTACTGGGAAAGCATGCTTAGATGAAGATCCTTTAAGCTCTTTATGCGAGGCGATGGCAAACATTCAAGGCAACTGTAGAAAAGTGAATAATTCACAGAGACCTGTTGTGTCTGAACATGTAGCAGAAGATCCACAGCGGTGAAGTGAGCACCCACATTCACTCTGACCTTAAAACAAACTACTTTAAATCATCACAACATTAATAATGACCCTAAATCCATCAGAGCAGAGCATCATGTGTAGACCTGCATATGTGATCACCAAGCCCTCACTTACTCATGACATTTGTTAAACATTCCATAGCATAACATTCAAACAGATTTCTATATCCTTTCATTGCTACATGGAAAACTGTGTAACTGTGACCCACTGCCACTGCCACCAGCACAACTAAAAGAAAAAACACACAACTGAAGTCTTAACCTCATGCTGGTGGTGTACGCTCCTACAGACGGCACAGGTGAGCTGTGTGAAGGACGCGTGTGTGTTTTGGTGTCACATGGACAGGCTGAGTGGTCACAAAAAAATCATCGGTGTGCTCGTGGACATGTTTGCTGCTTTCCTTCAGGTTCTTACAAAGTTTACGCACTCAGACGCCCATGTTGTGCATACTGACAAAATAGAAACTGAGGTTTCTATGTTGGCCATAAGTGAGAGTACGAAGGTAGAATAAGCAGTAAATCAGCTGTTTTTGCCCCGATGTAGGTACAGCATTCATATCAACTTGTGAGTGGAGGGAAAGCAGAGCTGAAGCTTTGAGTTTTATTGGGAGCTCCTCTCTTATTCACATGTGGTCACTACAACGGAAACGCAACATATTTTTGATTCGTCTCATTTATTTTTTTTATTTTTTTTAATTAATTTTACACACCAGATGCTCTTTCTGACACAACACTTCTGATCTGATTCTCTGTTCAGTGATGTTTCTTATGAAAGGCAAATGTGTTGATACACCGTAGAGCTGTGAAGCATCCAACTTAAAAGTCTTCCAACTCAAACACGGGGCTCTACCTGCCGCGGCGCTTCTGAATAAGGGAGCAGCCAAAACAAGCTTGTGCTGCTGAGGAGTTGGATTGATAAAACTTTTTGGGTGGGAGAGCCTAAAAAAGTGAGTTTTATTTTTCTGACCTTCTAAAAAGTGGAGGTTCTTGGTTAAGCAGTGATGTGTGTGGAAGAGTTAAAAAGCTGCACGGATTAAAACCGAAATCAACTTTTTTTTCAACTTGTTGATGCAGTCATGGGAAAACTGGAGCCAGCAGGGAAACGGCTCTAGCAAGGGCTCTGCAGTATTTAAGCAAAGAGTGTATGCATGCATGTAGGGCTGTTTGATATAACGATATATATTGGATGACGTCTATCGTTTCATTTTACGCTATCGTTTGTTTCGTGGTGTCGCAAAATAAACTGTTTACGGCAATATTTTTTCATCGTTTTGATGGTCGCTGTAGTGGCTATATTAATTTCTTAAAGTTCTCTCTTTCTCTTATATTTAATATAACCACACTGCTGACGGACAAGCGCCTGTTTTTATGCGTTGTCGTTAGCAACAGCGACGGTAACACCTTCGCGTATCCGCTTCTTTATGTTCCACATAAACCTTTCACAATAAAGCTCAAGATCCTGTTGAGACTTTTCAAAATAAACTGACTCATGTGAAAGAGCAGATTATTTACGGATGAGAAGTAAAAAAGAGGCGCCAGGTGCTAAAAAATAAACCTTAGACTCAAACGTTAGAACAGGCTTTTCCCCGCAGCACGCCGTGTAATAAATACTCACAACGAAAACGGCGGCTGTAACTTATGTCTAAAAATGTATAGTTTCATTCACTCCAGCTACATGACGCGCAGCTGGAAACACTTCACGCAAGTCGAGCTGCGCGAGATTCACATAATTTACAGAAAATGTTACATTTTTGTGATTTATATCGTTATCGGGACGATGGAATTCTTATATCGGGATATGAGATTTTGTTCATATCGCACAGCCCTACATGCATGCATGAGTGCGTGTGTGCATGCGTAAAATTATAAAGAAATGTTCACACTAGCCACAACAGTGAGCTGTATACTTCGACAGCTTGATAAGAATCTAGTCTCTTGTAATAAACTGATTCCTTTTTAAATAAGTCTCCAGTATCACTACTTTCACTTTGTTAGATTCGGTCACTAAAGTACCTTTCTGACCTGTGGGAGGCAGTAGCATCTGTATTTCTGGTACTTTGTTTAGACAGCAGCACAGGAAGTCAGTCTTTTTATCCTGTTTTCCTCTATAACTGCTGTTTGTGGAGGGTAATTAGATCTTCGATTCACGTGTTTCTTTCAGTTTTGTTTCCACGACAGACTTCGTTTTGGTTTTTGTTCTGGACAGTAATAAAAACATTGTGAATTTGAAACTTGAGATCATAGTGTTACAAAAGGCAGTCCAGTCTGTGGGAAAGGCATTAGTCATTAGTCTCCTGAGTGAACACTAGTGGCTCCTCTGAGGCTGAAGGTAAAACAGAGAATTAGAATTTACTGCAAGACGTGGTTTGGATGCCAGAATAACAGATTTGAGATAAAGGTTTGGAAAGTTGTGGGGGCAGACCCAGGGTCGAGCTCCTTTGCCAGTGTCTGAGTGCTGTGTCATCCCCGGCTTCTTTGGTAATGATGTTGATTTCTGTGGAAGTTAATATTGAAACAAACGACAGACATCCGGCAGCAAGCAGCTCCCAAAGTCAAGCTTGCACACAGAAGTCACATGTAGCTCTCAGTTAAAGCATTTTTGTTTTGTTTTGTTTTCTTATTAACTGCTCTTTAACATGTTCGCAGGGAGAGCGAGAAGACCAAGCTGCTGATCTCCCAGCAGACACAGAAGGTTGTGGAGAAGGAGGCAGAGACGGAGAGGATTAAAGCGGTGATAGGTGAGAAAGGAAGAGAGACTGTCATGTTGAGAGCGCTTTGTTCTGAGTTATTTGCACTCAGCGTGCTAACATGCTTGGATGTTTTGGGGTTTTGTTCTGTTTTTTGTAGAGGCTGAGAAAGTGGCTCAAGTTGCAGAAATCAAGTTTGGACAGAAAGTCATGGAGAAGGAAACGGAAAAAAAAATCTCTGAGATTGAAGGTTTGTATCCAGCAGTGAAGGAAGAAGAAAGAAGAGCGATTGTGGTGCTTTTCATTCAGCGAGGAGAAACGATTCATTCATCACCAGCATGAGTCAGAACCATTGAGACATGCTTTTACTGTGTTATTGCCAAATTCTGACCCTGCTATCCAAATGCTGCGGCAGAAATGGAGCCTCATCAGGCCAGGCAACATTTTTCTAATCGTCTAGCCTCAGCTTTCTGTTCTTAGCTGATAGGAGTGACACCCAGTGTGGTCTTCTGTTTCTGTAGCCCAGATGCAGATATCTTGGCTGGACACGCTCTGTGTTTTGAAATACTCCTCTGCATACCCTGGATATTGGGTATA